ATCCATCCATCCATCCATCCATCCATCCATCCATCCATCCATCCATCCATCCATTTTCTGCTGCTATTTCCGTCAGGTGTGCGCCAGTGCATGTCTCTTGCAGTCTATGGGTGTAAGGCTGGGCACACCCTGGACAGGTTACCAGTCCTTTGCAGGGCCGTCTTAACATTTAATATTATTGTTTTTAATCCGTTTCACCTCAGCATGTAACAGAAGTAGACGTTTTCTGTCATTCTTACACATTGACATTGATTTTTACATATATTGCTGTTTATCCATGTAACAAAGTGTCTACATACTATTAACAGTGAGCTCTTTCCTGACTTTGTCTCTTTTGACTCTAATAACATCTCCATCTTTTTTTCTTTTCTGATGTGACAAAAACTGATTAATCACATCAGGTCCAAATCTGATTTGAACTTGAGTGTAGTTTCTAATTACTAAAAACAAAACAATAGAAAACAAACAAACATCTAAACTCTAATAAAGAACCCTGCTGCTTATGAGTGATACTATTTTGAAGCTGGCAATTAGTGATATGTAAAATATGTGGCACATCAAGCAAAGCATACACACTGAGACAGAAAAAAGCTAATTACATTTGATGTTAGTACTAGCTTTGCTTCAGATTTTTCTAAACATTAGGTTTTAACTTTGTTATTCAGTATGTGATCGGAATAGAGGCTTTTACAGCTATGGAAAAAAAAAACAACCTTACCTGGTTGGAATAGTAGTGAAATAGGTAGTTAATAGGTAGTAAAGCTATACTGGCTGCAAAGCCTATGCAATATGAGTCTACCTTACTCGATGGGACTCGAATAAGGTAGACGATGGGGAAGCATTGAAGCTGGAGCACAAGTTTATTCGAAAGAGTGGCTATTTGGCACCTTTTAAACCACAGAGTTATTTAAAGGAATGGAGCCCTTATTAATGACTTCTAAGTGCTGCCATATTAGGAGAACTGAAGTGTGAGAGGAAGTGCTACAATATATGTTTTCACAGGAGAAAGAAACATTTTATGGCAGTGTATAGTAGGTAAAAAAGTCTTGAATTATAACCTTTAAAAGATCTAGTGTAAAGGTTTAAAATAAAAACAAACTTTAATCAGAACTTGGTGTTAAAAAGACCATCAGTGCCATTAGTACTGAAAGCTCAAATGTTATTTTTATATAAGAAATATTCCTTTACAAACCTTGTTGAATATGTGAGATTCTTCTTCTGCTGCTGAGTTATTTGACCTTTTTTCAGTTACCAGCTAATGCTTTAACTAGAATATGCCGATTATAGTCTAAATGCAAAACGTTTTTTTTTTATCATAGCTTTGTTGATACTAAAATAATTACTGAGAGAAGCACTACATGATAAAGATACTGTAACATTTTGTATGAAAAGGGTTTATTTGTTTTGAAAAAATTCTTAGTGTAAAACTTTTATTCATCAATTCAACACAGCAGCTTCTTTGTTAAAATGAACTGTTTCGGATCGACGTTTCCTATCTCATGACGGCTTTCTGCATTTGATCACCGTTTCTCCTGTTAAGGTTTTTGTAGAATTTCTCACCATTTCAAAGCCCTTTGTCTGTCCTCATGGGCCCTTAGGTAGAGAACAGCAAATTTATAAAAAAATAAAATAAAATCTTTGTATAAAAGTCGAATTTCTTTTAATTAAGTTTCCTGAGTTTTATTAGCACATAGCTGGTAAAAGCTGAGATAGGGCCCTCTAGCAGTTTAAGATTACTCCTTAAAAATATAACTGAATTGCTTTTTACTTGTTGAATGCAAGATGATTGTTTTGATCGTTTTTCATCATAATTTACTTTAAAAAAATTCCCTTTTGTGTTTTTTTTTTTTTTTGTACTTTCTTGCCAATCTACATCAGTCTTGCTTTGGGTTTTATTTTCTCCACATGTTCTTTACTGACTTTATAAGATTCTGCTCTATTATTATCATTACTTAGTTGGGCAGATTTTCCACTACTTATTTTAAGTTCAGTCTCAGGTAACATAAATTACTTTTTAAATATCCAGATAACTCTTGATCTCAGTGCACCCAGGCTTTTTCTCCTTTTTTTCCTGAGTAATCCCTAGCCTACTGTATAGGCTTTTAATATAAAAGCCTATAGGCTAGGGTTTATTAGACTATAGCATCTAGTGGATTATTCATCTACATACACTCATGCTACCAACCCTCAACAAATGAGACTGGGCTGTGTGGCCCTTATTGTGGTCTACAAATGATAGTCTCATATTGTCATAAGTCAAACATGTGTCTCAATCATTAATGCGTCAAGCCGTATCAGCATCTCATTTCTGCCTTTCTCAGAAGGGCTTTGCTTGATTGCCATGTTCCTCCTAATGTGTCAAAAGACACAGATCAAAGCAAATAACGGCTTTGCTCGTTTATTTTCTCCTTTTTTTCCTTCTCTGCTTCAGTTTCATACACCCACTTCCTTGTTTCTTGACCAGACATTTAATGTAGCATAAGGGAATACTTTAAGGCTGGCATCTCTGACAGCCCTGAGTGCAGCACTGAGCCATCAAAGGTTTTAGCTGGCACAGTCGAGTGTCACGTATTAGTCTTAAATGATGTGAAAACTGTGAAAACCCTGCCATCATTAAGATTCTTCACAGAGAGAGTGGGGAAAAAAACAGATACAAGGAAATATAGGGGAGTGATGACTTCTAGTAGAAAGACTGAGGAGAAACTGAAAAGGAATGAGGAGTGAAAGAGAGCAAGCCATTGTTAAGGTAGAGTACATTTACATTCAGCTGACATACCACACTTCCCACATTGGATTTTTTTCCTCCAGGATTATGAGATGTGTTTATCACATTTTGTTTGTTGCTAGAAATCTGACAGGAGATTGGGGGTGGGGGGGAAATCAATTTCCAAAAAGGGAAAGGGAGGAAAAGGCACTAGAGACTTCCTTCTCATTTTCTGTCTGTTTTGAAGAAAACTGACAGAAGAATCATCCAATTATTTGGTTAATTAATTCTTTAATTGATAATTTTCTCCCTTTTTTTTAAATGACTGCATTTGTGTTAAGGATTCCTGGCAATGTAAATAAGACTAAAGGATTTAATTGTTAAAATTTTACTAAGAGTTAGCAAAGTAACCGGAAAGTGGAGTTTTAATAATGAACTTCATAACATTTTTAATGCTTTGTTGTTGTTAATGTTGGCTCTGCATTTATTCAAGTGGACAGCTGCAGATGTTTTAGGCCTGCAGGCTTTATTTCCACCATTTTGAGTGAAAATTCTGAAACAACCCAGAGAAAACTTATCTGTTCTCCTCCACTCCAAATCCCCCTCTCTGTTCTTTCCCCTTGGTGACTGACAGCGGAAGACACATGCGGTGGCACCCTGAGGGGCTCCAGCGGGCTCATCTCCAGCTTCGATTTCCCCAGCAGTGACTCCCCTGGCACGGCCGGAGGTGCTGGTGCTGGAGGCCTGGGCAGCAGCAGGGAATGTAAGTGGACCATACTGGCAGATCCAGGCGACACCATCTCTCTGGTGTTCACAGAGTTTCAGATGGAGGAGAAGTCGGATTATCTGGAAATAGAAGGCTCTAAACAGCCAACCATCTGGTAAGTTGACCTCAGAAGGGAGTGGGAGGTTGGGAACCATTTGTAATGCTGCAGTTGAGCAATTATTGTTTGTATTATGTGCTGCTCAGAGCACAAGGTATGTTCACTTAGTGCTGACATTGTGTGGAAATAAAAAGCGCAGTCAGTGACATGAGGTTGTGGATATTTTGGAGAAATTTCTTTCTCTTTATATATTAAGGTAAATGCAGACTAGAAAAAAATGTTTCTAGTTCAAGAAATTACATACCGTAATATTGTGTTAGACTGCTGAATAGCAACATATATTATTAAATTGTACGAATTCTAACATTTTAAGACACTAACTATAGCCATACATTTAATACAAATACTGGCAAGCCTTTAATATCATTCAAATTCAGCTTTTATTACAAAAGTAGGCTATTATTTTACTTTAAAAAAATAGATAAATTGGTTATCAAAAAGTCTTTCTTTTAATGTGGAAACAAATCATATGATAAAAAATTATACTAAAGAAATCTTAGTACTAGGCTACTTTACAGGTCAGTAAAAGAAATATAAAAAGAAGTGTTATGAATTTAACTATTGCTTTTCTAAACTGATCAGTTTTTGGGACCCTTATCAGTAGCCCAGATATTTTTCTCCCTGGAGTTTGAATAAAACATGACAGACAGGCACTTCTCTTTTAGCTAGAGGCCTAAGGGCTGGATGAGGAGACCTGTCTATCTGACTGTTACACTTAAATCAAAATAAGTCATTTTTTCTTAAAAAAGCTGAATTTTTTCTTGAACTGATGAATTATAATATCCATTGAGGATAATATACACTTATTTAAAGTGGATATTATCTAATTACGGTATCTTATTTTAAGAGTAAAAATACTCATTCCTTTAGCACAGCGGTCACCAACCTTTTCACAGTTGAGGGCTAATTCAGGGGTACTGAGTCACAGGAAGGGCTACCAATACTGACCTATGAATTGCAAGGGTCAACGTTCACCTAAACTTCATACATCATAAACATATCTTTATCGTTTCTTAAATTTATAATTTTCTTTTAGACATTTTCATTTTGAAATCTCTATAAATGCTTAAATGTCATATATGATTAAATGATGAAAGGTTCTATAACCCAATTAAAAAAAGAACAGCAACAGAATACAGTGAAATTTCAAACGTAGCTGACTGTTGAGTCGTTCTATTTTCAGAAGACTCTAAGGGTACTCCATGTGGTCCTTGAGGGCCCCTTGGTGCCCGCGGGCACCATGTTGGGGACCCCTGCTCTAGCAGATGATCTCATTTATCTGCTCGAATTAAGGCTAAATACATTAATTTGATAATTTAAGAAACCTTGACTTATTTCTAGATCGTTTTTGCAGTGTACTTGTGAACAGGATGGTTAGGGTAGAAAGAGATAAATGCAGTAGAATTGATATCTTTTAGTTCCTAAGTTCCCAAAAAACTCTGTATTGTATATCCCAAGTGGTTGTTTATAAGGCATGCATGAAAAGGTTGTTGTGCACTTTTTATTTTTTTATTTATTTTTTTTTTCTTACACCACTAGTGGCTTGTTTTTAGGACAGTAGGCTGACAGGAAATGGGGTATGAGAGAGGTCCTTTCTCTCCTGGGTCTCTGAATCCCGCTTATAATGCAAAACCCAGTGAAAGCAAGCTGCTAATATCTTGTTCTGTTTTATCTGTTTTGGTCATTTGACTTCTTTAGAAAAAAAGCCATACTTAAGTTTGGATCAAAGTTTGAAGAATGATGTCTCTTGTCACCAGTTTGGATATTCAATTGTGCTCTGTTTTGCGAACCAGTTGGTCAGCGGGTCAAAGAGGTCTTTTTCTGAACAGGGTTTTTGATTAGAGGGACCTGAAGGGGTCTCAGGATGTCCTAGAAGGCTATAGAACATAAGACATCCAAGATGAAAATCAAGGTTTACTGGTACAATGCTCTTTTCAGCCCATGTCTAGATTCATTCCATGGCTGCTCTACCCTCACACACCTAAATTTATTGAGTCTGTGAAACTCCACTGGAGCCCTAACTTTAAATGAGCTGGGGTTTGTTAAACACTGCCAGAGAAACAATTGATGCTTATGTGGAAAATCACTCCATGTCAAGTATGCTTGAGGGTTTGTAATAATGAGGGTCTGTTTTCCTTCTAAAGATCACATTAACCTATTTGGAGTGCATTATATTACTCACGATTTGAAATACCTGGACATTTTAAGTAGAAACCTAAAGAACTCTATCAGGAAACGTGTGAGCGTTTTATAGTTTAATAATAATCAAAACATACAGACAAACTAACATAGGAATGGTTCACTAGAAAAAGTGACCCTTCTTCCATGGCTGTCTTGGTCTAGATCTAATAGAAATAAATTTGCATTAGCAGTCTTTTATTTGATTGTAAGAATATACTACTGATTTAACATTATATAAAGATGAATGGAACTATCATGTTTTTTTTCTTACTTTTACTATAATTGTTAACATATTTGTTAAATAAAAATTTCTACTTAGAAACTGAGTTTTTTCTAAAATCATTAACTCAAACATTTTGTCCATAAACTCTAGGAAAGAAGTCTTTACTTAAAATAATCACTTTTGGATGATCTACCCTGAATTCTGAGAATTATTAACACACTGTCCTGAAAAACTAGACCTCCATAGCTTTTTAAGAGACTAAAAAATGAGAAGAAGAAAAAAAAGTTTGTTTTTACATTTTACTGCAAATGTTAAATGTTGCCCTCATGTTTTATACTGAGATCTCATAAAGTCAGGTCAAGCTGCTGGTTATCAGCTCAGTAAATATAACCAGGCTTTGGATGACTTAACACAGGCATAGACAAGAACATGCACAGGCTTTCTCTTCTAAAAGAGAGGAAACTATATTTGCAAGCCTTTATGAGAATTTAAATACCCTATAAATAGCATAATACAGCCTGAAAGAAACACAGCTGCAGCAGTCAAAGATAGGAAGGAATCCTAGCATGCGTAAATTAGTAAGCTTAGTGTGAATGCCCCAAAAAGCATAAGATGTTCTCAATGCATTTAAAAGTGTAGGGACTTATATTATTTTTAAAACGCTTTCCACAGATAGTATTGAGACATCTCTATGTCTTTTTTAGATGTTTTTGGTGATATGCAGCTTTAATCAACAGTGTTTTAAAGTCGTTATTTTGAAATATATCAAATATATATTGAGTCTAAGTTTAAACATGTAATGAGTGTATGAGGCTCTATAGTCATCTACAGTATTTCAGAACAGAGATACAATCTTGTTTTTAACAAAGAAAATTGCAGCTAGAAACAAATTAAACTTTATTGTAAGGGTAACGTTTTCTTCTTTTGGGATTAAGATGAATATAACCTTGTCAATGATGCATGACCCCTATTTTTTCAAATAATCATTTGGTCGGACTATGCTGGTTTTTAAACCTTTATAATAATAATAAGAAAATATGAAAAATCCTGGAATATCCAAAGTTCTTTAATCCATTTGATACAATATCTTTAACCCCTGAATTCAAGTTAAGCTTATCCTTCCTCTTTGTTTTGTTTTTCTTCTTTGTTTGAAATATATGAGTATCAGCCTGAAGTTTGGGATCCTTCTGGCTATTAATTATAATTCAGTCAACAGAAGCTCTAATCAATCATAAAGGCAGAGCGGCTGTTGTCCCTGAGAGTTGTCTCTCATAGTCAGATGGAGAGAGAGAGAGAAGCAGGCACTGTGTCAGTGAGAGACTGCATCTAAAGGAGAGATGCTGTGAGTGTGGCAATGACTGCTAAGTATTGCATGTTGACTTGGCTAAGAGGAGTGTGATGGAGAATTCATGTGGGACCACACTGTGTACTGACGGTCCTCCACCAAGTACCTTGTTCTCTTGGGTATAATAGCAATATAACATTTTTAATGCCATTGATGCTGCTACATTTAAATTTTTAGAGAAACATTGTCAGAAGCCCTAGATTAATTTAGGTAAAATTGCTTTAAAGGAGAAGTCCAGTCATATCCTGAATTAAAACTTCTGAAAGTACTTTAAATATGAAATTATTACATACTGTTCAATAAATGATAAGTGTTTTGATTAAGAGTAATTTTTATTTGAATGTGCTTTAGTGGAGTTATCCATGTTTGTCAAAGAACACTGCTGCCACCTATCGGTTTGTGACGTCACGGTGTGGTATCGGCTGTTGAGCAGGTCCCAGTGCTCTATCTGGTGTTTGTCACAATGCTCTATTATCCAAGTCTTCTTGAAAACATTCTTCTTCGAAATGTTAGCTACATATTACATGTTTTTTCCCTGGCCAGAACTTTGATGGCAAATCCTCCCTCTCCAAGTTGGCAATCCAATGACAAACCCGTCCATGGAGGATCGTGAATAACAAATTTTTTTTTCTTCAATTTTAGCCGATGTATTGCAACATCCATCTGCCATGCACCTGGGCATTGTCAGTTTAACTATATCTCTCGCAAATTCTTGAGAAAGGAAGAAAGGGTTGTCAAAATCTTAAATAATAATAGATTTGTCTAGTAGTTCCCATTGATTTTGCCTGTAAAGCGGGGTAATGGCGCTAGGCTTACCGCACTGTGACGTCACTGCCATAAGATGTCAGGAAAGAGGCGTTACTATATTTCGGAAAAAATTGGATTCCGAGACTCAGTGATCGCGACGAAAATTATTGTTTTTATATTTTTTAATTGATTAACGCTAAATTCATTTAATCACCGCAAACGTATTAGTTTTAGATATAAATAATTATCTATTGATTATTCCTTGCTGACCGGACTTCTCCTTTAAACCGTTATAGTTTTTTTTCAAAGAAATAATTTATATATTGGCCCAAGTGGTCATGTGATAGAGTTTTAAGGATCTCCATGCCTGGTCCTCAATATCTACTATCCTTCAGGTTTTAGATGCATCCCTGCAACAAAACAGCTGCATCGAATTATTTCCTCATTACCAGTCCTTTGTCAAACAAATATTTTTTGTCATTTGAATTAGCCATGTTGGAG